GGTCACGGGGCAGTAGTCCCAGGGGCTCAGAGCTTGGCCCTGGCACGTCACAGGCCGCGGCCCTGAGAGAGGGGAAGGGAGTCGGACCCGCTCGGCAAAGGGGAAGTCGCCGTGCTCTGCTCGGTGTGGTGGCCTCGCGGGTGGTAAGTCACGGGCGGCTTCTGGGGCGCCTTGCCGGGACCGAGGGGAGGATGAGGCCTTGGACCTCTTCAAACCGTGATTTCGGTGCTGCTGTCCCCGGCCTGGTGGCTGGGGGCGGTTGGGTTTGCGTGTCCTCTGTGGTGTGTGAGTCCACCCTGCTGTCCCTCAAGGCCTTCCCCCGATGGCTCCCTGAGGAAGGATGCTTTCTTCATATCTTCCCTTTTGAAATGACCTTGATTTGGGGAAGAACATGTCCAGCTGGGACGGCAGAGTCCTTCTGGTGTCACTCACAAGCTTGGATTTCCCCTGCCGGATACCCCGACCACTTGCGGAATCAGGGCCACTTGCCCTCCTAACCATGGCTCAGCGCCGTCTGAGCCCGGCGTGATTCCCCAGGACCAGGGCCCGCGATAGACTTTTGTGCCCGTGGAACCTTTCCCCTGAGGTCTCAGGGGGCCTCAGGACTGTAGACTTCCCCCAAAGCCGTGAGCTCCGGGTGGGGTAGTGAACTTGGCCCACCTCATTGCTTTCTTGGCGGCCCAGATGGCCTTCTTCTCCTGTTCCCGTTAGACTTTCGGGGTCCCCCAGAGGAAGTGACTGAGTCCCTCTGTCAATGGCTTGGTGAGCCACAGGGAAAGGGAGAAATGAGTGCTGGGGTCTCTTCTAGTGCGAGACTCTCAAGTTCGCACCTGTTTTTGTCTGAGTTTGCTAACACGTGCCGGAATGGAAACATCAGATGTAGGAATTTTATCGGTTCATTTCTACCCTGTTGTTTCCGTATTTTTTGCATTTTGCTTCTCCTGGGACGATCGTTAGAAGAGAACACTGGAACTCAGGAGGGAGCTGACATCTGTCTTACCCTTTCAAAACCCTGTTATCGATGCTATTTCATTTGGCCCGTGAAATTTCTCTATATGGCAGATGTTAATACTATCTCCATTTTATTGACTGATTGATTGGGGTCTCACTCTGTTGCCCAGGCTGGAGGGCAGTGGCATGATCTTGGCTTGTCACAACCTTGACCTTCTGGGCTCAAGTTATTCTCCCACCTTGGCCTTCCAAGTAGCTGGGACTACAGGCGCGTGCCACCATGCCTGGCTAATATTTCAATTTTTTTGTATAGAGATGAGGTCTCACTATGTAACTCAGTCTGGTCTCAAACTCCTGGGCTCAAGCGATCCTCCTGCCTTGGACCCCCAAGGTGTTGAGATTACAAGCGTGAACCACTGCGCCTGGCCACTATTTTCCAAATATTAAGTGTTAAAAGTAGCCTGTTCTGGTTCATTCATGCATTCATTCATTCACTGTCAAGTCATTCACAAAGTATTTTGTGAGCACCTGCCAGGTGCTGGAGTGTTGAATAATATCTCTTTGTCTTTCCTTCCCTCCTACTGACATCTTCTTTTTCTGTTTACCCTCCCTACTTCTTCCTTCTTTGTCCTGTTCTATGCTTTATCACTTGCTCGGCTGTGTTCTCAGGCTTCAGAAGTCCAGTGTCAATGGAGGCAACATTGTCTTTGATTAACAACAGGGCTTCTGTCCTTGAAATGGCAGTTTACCCTCAGAACTGGTGAGACTCCTGGCAGCCTTCGTGAAGTCAGAATCAAACCAGGGTATTTGGTTGCCCTTCAAAAAAATCATGTCTGGGTTAGGGCCCAGTTGAATAGGTTATTGTTACATCTGTGTAACGGACTAGCACAGAGACAGGGAACCAGGGTTCACGTTGTGTTGAGGTGGAAAGTCTGACCATATGTGTGAAGAGAAAGAAAACTAAGATACAGAGCAGTGTGTGTAGTATAGATGTGACTTAGGTATATTTTTAAAAGAAATATATCGATGCCGGTCTGTGAATAACTTTTTTCCAGGAAGGATACACAAGAAACTGTTGACTGTGGTTGCCTCTGGATGGATGGAGAACATTTTTAACCTTTTTTTTTTTTTGAGTCGAGGTCTCACTCTGTCTCCCAGGCTGGAGTGCAGTGGCACGGTCATGGCTCACCACAGCCTTGACCTCCTGGGCTCAGGCAACCTTCCACCTCAGCGTCCTGAGCAGCTGGGACTACAGGCATGGGCTGCCATGACCAGCTAATTTTTTTTGTTTTTTGTAAAGACAAGGTCTTGCTGGTCTTGAACTCCTGGCCTCAAGCAATCCTCTCGCCTCGGCCTCCCAAAGTACCAGTATTACAGGTGTGAGTCACTGCGCCTGGCCTATTTTTAACTTTTTGTTTTAGACATTTCTCCAGTGCTTTAATTTTTCTATGTTCATTTTCTACGTTCAGTTAGGAATTTTAAAAAGAGTCGAATGATGGTGTCGTGGGGATGTTCTGGATCTAGACAGAGGAATTGGGCTTGCACCCAGATAACCCAGGTGGGGTGAATTGCAGGTTAAGTTCCTTTGTGGCCTCTTTCCCTGGCCTCGGCGAGCTGACCACGTGGTATTGGTTTGTGTTGTTGCTGTGATGACCGCACCGTCACCCATGTGGACCAATGCCTGCCAGGAGGCCGCAGCTACTTATCACTTGGTCGTATCTTTGCCCTTGTGAAATGGAAGCTGACTCTCATGAGATTTGGACTGATGCCTTCTTAGGCTCTTACCGTCGTCATGATCATCGGTGAGAGACGATGGGTTTGTGTTTCACACACTGACACTAGATGGTTGAGTCACCTTAGACAAGTCACTCGGCCACTCTGGATCTGTTCTTGTCCTTCTTAACATGCTGCAGGGGACGATAAGTGGACATTTCATAAGTGGACGTTTCCAACCATGAAATTTCATGATTTCAACTGCATGTGATTTTTACATAGCTTGCTTCTTTGCTGGGTCTCAATCCGATATTCTTCCAAATCCTATCAATCTTTATCAATTCTATATTTATTTATTTATTTTTGAGTTGGAGTCTCACTCTGTCACCCAGGCTGGAGGGCAGCAGCCCACTTCCGGCCAACGCAGCCTCGACCTGCTGGACTCCGGCGATCCTTCCGCCTCAGCCTTTCAAGTAGCTGGAACTACAGACATGCGCCACCATGCCCGGCTAAGTTTTTGATTTATTGTAGAGATGAGATCTTGCCAAGTTGCCCAGGTTGGTCTCGAACCCTTGGGCTCAGGCAATCCACTCACCTCGGCCTCTCAAAGTGCTGGGATTATAGGCGTGAGCCACCGTGCCCGGCCCATTCTATATTTATTTCTGCTAACAAGTTGTCCTTCACAAAAGAGTTCTAAACAAAACCTTAAAGGACGTATTGATAACAGCTTTCTGTTTATGGACATTAGCTTAGGTTTAGTTTTAGGAGAATATAACATTCTACCACTATCTGTGTGGGAACGAAGGAACATGCGTATTGAACGTTTTACATATACTGTTTATTATTGCCTGGGGGAAGAGTTATGCTTGTGAGTTCGTGGGAGGATAATGGGGGCAAGGGAACTGGGGTGAATATGCATGACAGAGTGGACCTGTTAATTTCCCTATTATTACAGGATGTTTTCACGACTTCGATTTCGTTTCCACCAGCCGTTCACATGACCGAGAGTATGTCTGAGATGGCCCAGGAAATAGGATGACTTAGTGCTATAAATGATTCTTGATCTGCCCATTGGAGAAATTATTGAAACCACAGAAGGCTAGTCAAATGGACTTCATTCTGGGCAGAAAATTTTCTATTTTAGCCAGTTCGGTAACATTCAGACTTAAACAGAGGACAGTTGTTTTTCTAAGTCACAGAATAATGAACACAGACAGTAATTTTAAAAAAGTTGACTATTTTGCGGGGGTGGAGGGGAGAATACATTTGGATACTTTTTAATTTTCTTAAACATTTAAAAAAAAATTTTAAAGATGTGGGGTGGCTGGGCTTGGTGGCTCAGCCTGTAATCCCAGCACTTTGGGAGGCTGAGGCTAGTGGATTGCCTGAGCCCGCAGGTTCGAGACCAGCTCGGGCAACTTGGCGAGACCTCATCTC